TCCTCCACAACCTCCAGAGCCCCACTTCCACTCCCTGTCGGCTGTTCCTCCTCTCCCTCAGAGTCAGACTCCAACAGGGGCATGACACAACCGTTCGTTTAGTGACCGTTCAAAGTGATGATGGCACTGAAAAAAAGGGACTTAGGACCATTTCCCACACTTACGACAGTTGCAGCATCGCCGTGGCCAGGTGGTCAAAATTTGGATGCTTGGCAACTGGCATGTACTTATGACGGTTGTATCATCCCAAGGTCACGTGACCAACTTTTGTGACCTTCTCACAAGGCAAGTCAATGGGGAAGCCAGACTCACTTAATGACTGTGACTAAGATAACAAATGTGGTGATTCATTTAACAACCGCAGCAAGAACAGTCGTAAAAGAAGGCAAAATTCACTTAACAAATTTCTCACTTAGCAACATAAATTTCAGGCTCAATTGTGGTCGTTAAGTCGAGGACTTTCTGTATTCTCATTGGGCTTGTGTTATTATTCTGTTTCTGTTCCTACGTCTGTTCACTCTATCATTGTAAACCGCCTAGAGTAGCCTCTTAGTGAGACAGCAAATAAATTAAATTAAATTAAAAATTAAATTAAATTAAAAATTAAATTAAATTAAATATTAAATTAAATATTAAATTAAATTAAATTAAATTATTAAATTAAATTAAATTAAATTTAAATAAATAGTTTAATATTAAATTAAATAAATCTTTACTTAATAAAGATTTAACAAATACATCTTTAATAAAGATTAAACATCTTTAGATAAATTCTAAAGATTAAAGAAATTAGAGAAATAAGTAAACCATTTATTCCATTTTAATTTAAATCAACCTTTCATGAATAAAAATTGAATACGTAAATGTTTATTTAACAAAGATTAAAGGCCTTTAGTTTAAAGATTAAAGAGCTAAGGATTAAATATTAATTGAGCGAAAGGAAAAAAAAATCGTTTATTTAATTTTAAACTGAATATTTTTTATTTAATTTTAAGGGATGAATCGGGCCGAGAGCCATCCTAGTCCTAACTTCTGCATTTGGAGATCGGGAGCCACGGCAGAAAAAGGCCCGAAGCCCTTGGCCAGAGGGGACCCCCCCAATGTACCCCTCCTGCCTGAGCATGGGATGGGATGGGCGCAGGTGTTCGGGGAGAGGCGCCCCACCCAACCGAGGTCCCAACCGGGGCCCTCTTTGGCCCTGCCTCACCTTTGGAATCTCTCCTGCTGTTCCCGCTGCTTCCGGATCTCCGGGAACTGCTTCTCGTAATACTCCCGGGTTTTGCTTTCCTTGGCCTTCCGCCGGGGGTTGTTTTCAATCCGGTCCACCTTCTTCTCCCAGGCCTCCATCAGTTGGTCGTAGCGCTGGCAGATCTTCTGCTCCTAGGGGTGGCCCAGAGACCAAAGAGGGAGAGAGTCAGGGAGACTGAGAAACAGAGAGAGACCGGGGGGGAGAGGGAGGGAGGGATTGGGAGAGGGAGGGAAAGAGGGAGAGGGAGGGAGAAAGAGAGAAAGATGGAGGGAGAAAGGGGGGGGGGGGGAGGAGGGGGGGGAAGGAGGGAGGGAGTGGGAAATGGACTGGGAAAAACAGAGGGAGGGACTGGGAGGGAGGAAGAGAGGGAGGGGAGAGGGGGGGAAAGAGAGAGAGGGAAGTGGGAGGGAGAGAGGGAGTGGGAGGGAGAGAAGGAGAAAGAGAGAGAAAGAGGGAGGGAGAAAGGGAGAAGGAGGGAGGGAGATAGGAGGAGTGGGAGAGGGAGGGAGGGAGGGAAGAAGGAAAGGAAGGAAAGGAAGGAAAGGAAGGAAGGAAGGAAGGAAGGAAGGAAGGAAGGAAGGAAGGAAGGAAGGAAGGAAGGAAGGAAGGAAGGAAGGAA